GATCGCCGATTGAATGTTCGTTACATGTCCATCCGGCTTGTGGGTTTCTCTCCTCTTCCATGCATTGGAGATGCGCGTATCTGAAGCATGTCACTACTTCGCATTTGATAATGGAATCTGTCACAAGTCTCGATCGTAGCAGCCGGCTTTCAAATGCTGTGTCACACAATGAGCATGTGGTACTTGGGCCAGGGTTTGTTTCCACATCACCTGCTAGTAGTATGAGCAAGAGGGTGATGTACAGTTTTGTGCCCATGTATTTCTGTCCTCGTCTGCTGGGTATTGGGCGAGGCAGAAGTACAGTGTACTGTCCTGCCACTCGGCAGCGGCACCATGGCGTGTACTGCACGGTATCTTCGATCTTACATAGTGCGCACACAGCCACAGCAGCGAGCAGTGCGTACGTGAAAACCTTTCCGCCAATCATCTTACGATTCTTTGCAACCAGATGCTTCAAAATGTGGTATCCAATATTAGCCGTACAAGTCTTTATAACGAAAGATTCGTCAAAAGATGGCGCTAGTGTCGCCTCACACGTTCGGCATCCTCCCGGGGAGGTGCGTGTCTCGACAGAATCACGTGCTATGTCAAGGCGGTCAAGGCCGCGAATTCGGAACCGATTTAAGACAAAACATGCACAGTTCTGATCGTGATTTAGCGAATATTTCTCACTCACTTGTTTTCATTCCGCGGCCCATAGTAGAAAAAGCTTCATTTATCATATTGTCAATAGTATCTTGTCTGGGAATAGTCTTGTGAGTGCGATTTATCAGAACCCGCGCCAATCAAGTCGCAAGCTTGCCACTGCTCGTCGAGGTTCTCCAAATATTTAAGCACCTGTTTTAGCTTATTTCTTCAATATTTATGTCAAGTACGGTTCACCCATGTACTTCGGCAATATGGCAAAACATTTGGCATATGCCATTTTATCTAACACATCCAAAATTAACATGAAAATACGACCAGCACTAAAGCTGTTCCGTCACTACGTCGGCGCACCGACGAATAATATCGCAAAAAAGGGCCTAAAATAGTGCCTTTTTCGCCTAAAAGTTTATCGGTTTTTCGATATGTATTAGGTCGTTCAATAAGTAACGAACAATCGGTCATAACTTCTTTATTTCTTTATTTAACACTTTCAAACTTTCACAGATTATAGATCAGACATTTCTGAATGCAGCCTATGTCTCAAACCAGCCGCCGCCCGCCTGCACACACTTCTCCCAGCGTTCCGGCCAACGCCGGAATTCCGCCCGGAAAAACGCGTTTTCCGTCTTTTTCACCCAGTTCATGACAGCGCACATGACTTCAGCGTCGGTCTCGAAGTGTTCACCATGGAGGCCATCCTTCAGGGGACCAAAGAGGTGAAAATCTGAAGGAGCCAGGTCCGGACTGTAGGGCGGCTGGGGCATGATATTCAGCCCTGTCACGCGATCTCCTCGCGCGTGGCGTGAGACAAGTGCGGTCGGATGTTGTCATGGTGTATGGTGATGTTGTTGACATCCGAGCCGCGCCTCTTCTTCATGATTGCTTTTCTCAGTCTCCTGCAGGACTGTGATGTAGCGGCCCGCTGTCCATAGTCCGCCCAGGTTCAAGAAAGCCCACCAGGATGACACCATGACAACGCTCGTCCGCACATGTCTCACGCCACACGCGAGGAGATCGCGAGACAGGGCTGAATATCATGCCCCAGCCGCCCTACAGTCCGAACCTGGCTCCTTCAGATTTTCACCTCTGGTCCCCTGAAGGATGGCCTCCGTGGTGAACACTTCGAGACCGACGCTGAAGTCAGGTGCGCTGTCAAGAACTGGGTGAAAAAGACGGAAAACGCGTTTTTTTTTTTCGGGCGGAATTCCGACGTTGGCCGGAACGCTGGGAGAAGTGTGTGCAGGCGGGCGGCGACTGGTTTGAGGCAAAGGCTACGTTCAGAAACATTTGATCTATGATCTGTGAAAGTTTGAAAGTGTTAAATAAAGAAATAAAGAAGTTATGACCGATTGTTCGTTACTTATTGAACGACCTAATATAACAACTGTAGTGGGCTGACCTACAAACAGGCGTCGGCAACAATCGCGAATGCGGCGCACATGTGACAATAAGCAAAGGTCATTATAGAGTTACGACGTACGGGAATGAGTTATCAGCTGTCTAATCGTAGACAACACAATGTCGAATTTAAACTGTAAGCCTGTACTGGTATTGTTTCTTTAATTTGGCTGTGGAACATTAATTTATGGTTTGAAATATTATTTTCAAACCATAAATTATAAATAATATTTTCATAAATATTTTATGTAAAATAATTGATATGAAACAGCCGTCTCTAAAGTTATGACCCCATCTCACCACATGAAAGTGGCAGAAATGACAATGATCAGCTGACGCATTTTTCTTGGCCGAAGTCAGAGCGCGCGGCCCGACGCACCACCACCGCACCACAAAGTATGAGCAGAAGCCGCGCCCAAAGCCAGGGCCCCGGTAACGTGAGGTAGCCAAGTCGGGGCAGCGTGCGCTGACCCAAGCCGGGGCCGCGGCTTTGGGCGCGGTCTACCGCATCCCGGGGCAGCCCCGGGCTATCACATGACACCGGGAGGACGCGCGGCCCCGACTTGGGTCAGCGCACGCTGCCCCGACTCGGCTACCTCACGTTACCGGGGCCCTGGCTTTGGGCGCGGTCTACCGCACCACCTAACAGGCGTGTTCGAAACCGCAGGAGATGATGATGAACGGGTTTATCGAAACTTGATTGGATGAGCCTATTGGTAATAGCGATTTCAGTGTGTGCATTTATCGTTCATAGTGGTGTGAAATGTGGTTGGGGTACGACCGACAACCCGTCGGGGCGAATTTCGCACTGGGGTACTCAAAATTTGAAGAATTTAAGACGTTTCCATGAGTTTTGAAGGTATGGATAAGTTCTAAAAATCCGGTTCTCCTTATCTGGGGCATTAACTCCATACGGTCCAGGAAAGCTGGCACACTACCTTTAAGCAAACGAACATGTATTATATCCTGACCCATGGCTAACACGCAGAAAATATGAGCATCATGTAATGTACGTTTCAGAAAAAAATATCGTCGGTTTGTCCCATTCGTAATGAGAAATGACAGAATGTATGACTTCTTTGATAAAGAATGTGGCAGTACAGTGACTTGCCATGAAGCGAATTGTTTGCACTTGCTTAATTTTCAAGCTCGCCATGCTTGTTTCCAGAAAGCATCAATTTATCGCAAAATGATTCTTCGTTGGGCTCACTGACCGCATTAGGATGACTTGGAGAGCGATGAAGTGAGTTAGCTCCCAACATCCCATTTTTTCTTCCCGTGCGCAGGTGGGGTACAGCCTCTGACAGCTCAGATCAGCCAACTTTCCCTCTTCAGGCATGGAGACCAGCTGGATTGAGCAAAACAGGTATCAACAAATGCAAATAAAAGTGTGTTGCAAAACCAACTGAACAATGAATTTTCTTCAGAGTCATTCTGAATAGCTTAGCTAGCGAAATGAGTCGTTAAACCAGCAATTATATCAATTGCGTAGAGGAGCGACAGCCGAACGTACGTCACTTCCGTAGCCTACCGTCGGGCCGGGGCACGCGGTGTGCGAGTCGATAAGGGTGATTCCACGTTTCTGGATGTTGGACTTTGGTCCATCGTGACGCCGAGTTGCGTTACGGAAGCTTATTGCTGGCTTCTGCACACGTCTATGCACATTTACGCATATTTTTTTTTACAGATGTTGTTCTTACGGCATTCGACCTTCGGCATAACCCGACAAAACATGCTCTCCCTTTTAAGAACCCACGGAGAAAAAAAGGAAAAAACTTTGCATTTTTACAAAACGCAATTTTTGAAAAAGGTCATTGAACGATTTTGATAAAAATCACATTTCTGAAATCAGCTCACCGTCAGCTATCGAATGGTATATTTCATTTTTGTGTGGACAAAATCACTTTCCGACGAACCGTGCCCTGCCAGGTCCGACCCTGACCTCTGGCCGTGTCTGCCGGTCTCTGTCACTGACCTCTGGCCGTGTCTGCAGGTGTCTGTCACTGACCTCTGGCCGTGTCTGCCGGTCTCTGTCACTGACCTCTGGCCGTGTCTGCCGGTCTCGGTCACTGACCTCTGGCCGTGTCTGCCGGTCTCTGTCACTGACCTCTGGCCGTGTCTGCAGGTGTCTGTCACTGACCTCTGGCCGTGTCTGCCGGTCTCTATCAGTGACCTCTGGCCGTGTCTGCCGGTCTCTGTCACTGACCTCTGGCCGTGTCTGCCGGTCTCTATATCACTGACCTCTGGCCGTGTCTGCCGGTCTCTGTCACTGACCTCTGGCCGTGTCTGCCGGTCTCTATCACTGACCTCTGGCCGTGTCTGCAGGTGTCTGTCACTGACCTCTGGCCGTGTCTGCCGGTCTCTGTCACTGACCTCTGGCCGTGTCTGCCGGTCTCGGTCACTGACCTCTGGCCGTGTCTGCCGGTCTCTGTCACTGACCTCTGGCCGTGTCTGCAGGTGTCTGTCACTGACCTCTGGCCGTGTCTGCCGGTCTCTATCAGTGACCTCTGGCCGTGTCTGCCGGTCTCTGTCACTGACCTCTGGCCGTGTCTGCCGGTCTCTATATCACTGACCTCTGGCCGTGTCTGCCGGTCTCTGTCACTGACCTCTGGCCGTGTCTGCCGGTCTCTATCACTGACCTCTGGCCGTGTCTGCAGGTGTCTGTCACTGACCTCTGGCCGTGTCTGCCGGTCTCTATCACTGACCTCTGGCTGTGTCTGCCGGTCTCTGTCACTGACCTCTGGCCGTGTCTGCCGGTCTCTGTCACTGACCTCTGGCCGTGTCTGCCGGTCTCTGTCACTGACCTCTGGCCGTGTCTGCCGGTCTCTGTCACTGACCTCTGGCCGTGTCTGCCGGTCTCTGTCACTGACCTCTGGCCGTGTCTGCCGGTCTCTGTCACTAACCTCTGGCCGTGTCTGCCGGTCTCTGTCACTGACCTCTGGCCGTGTCTGCAGGTGTCGCCGGTGCGTCTGGAGATCACGGTGCCGGTGGCGGCCGACCAGCTGGTCCGGCTGGCCGCCGGCTCCAGCCCGGACGTCTGGAGGGCGGTGCTCGAGCAGACCCCGGACGCGGCGCGGCGCTCCCTGCTCGCTCAGCTGCGGGCCCGCCGCCGGTCGCAGTCCGGTGACCCGCACCGGGCCCGGTCACAGAGGTCACGGCACCGGGGGCACCGGCAGAGGGCCCGGGGCGGCGGCCTGGCCGCGCGGCTCTCCTCCTACCCGGGGATAGCGGCCGATACCTCCAGCCGGCGGAGCTACTCCACCCTGGAGAGGCACTCGGACGGCCGGCGGCGCGTCTCCTCTGGGTCGAGTCGGCCAGAGGCCCAGTCGACCCACCAGTGGTCGGCGGGGTACCGGGAGGACACGGACACTCCGAGCGGGACGGCGCCGTCCCCGGGCGGACATCACACCGGCGGGGCGCACCAGGCAGCCGGTCCCGCCGACCACTGGGGGTCACCGGCAGCGACCACCTACCGGCCTGGGCTTCCACAGGTCACCAGCTACCGCCCGAGGGCGCCAGAGGTCACCAGCTACCGCCCGAGGGCGCCGGAGGTCACCACCTACCGCCCGAGGTCACCAGAGGTCACCACCTACCGCCCGAGGACGCCAGAGGTCACCACCTACCGACCAGAGGGGTCGGGCGGGCGGCGCGCCCGGGCCAAGTTGACCACCTTCGGGCCGGCGCAAACCGACCCTCTCGGAGTGTCCTCGGCGGGATACGGTCCACCCCGTCCAGGGGCGGCTCCAGGTCACTCTGCAGAGCGGGAGTGGGACCGGAGCTCCGGACCCAGCCGGGAGCGGACACAGGACTCGGGACCCAGCTGGGACCGAGACTGGGACTCGGGACCCAGCTGGGACCAGAAGGACCACTACGAGGAGGGACTCGAATGGCTGAAGGACGTGGTACCAGGTCAGTGGAGAGCGGCTTCAGACGCGCCCGCCACCCGTCCTTTGTATGTTCAGAATCAATCCATCCCGTCCATCACACACCCCACCGGACTGATTATAATCACCCTATGTTCAGACAACCAGGTAGTGCAGTTTGAGCGGCTGAATTAAGGGGCACGAAATCAGCCGCAGCGGTACACTAGTCGGTGATGACCGAGGCAGCCTGACGTCCCCATTAGGTACACTAGTCGGTGATGACCGAGGCAGCCTGACGTCCCCATTATCCTTTCATTCCAAGGCCATTCGACTCATTCAATAGACCGAAAGAGCCCTAACTCAGCAAAAAAAAAAAACTTCAAGTGGCTTGCATTCGTTTTTTTTTCATCGCGTTCTTCTAACTCGATGTTCGTATTTCAATTTGTATGAGCCTTTATGATCCTTGCTGAATGGTATCAATGTCCTTCTACGAACAACCACGAGCTGAACGATGGCCAGTCCGGTGGGGCGGCAGCGGCGGCGGCGCTGAATTTCGTCCCGCTGACCGGGTCCGGCGGTGAAATATGAGCCGCTCCTGGTCTCCGGGCCGTAATTAGCCGCTGGGAATGTAGTGCACGTGGCGGACGGTCAGCGGTCGACGGACCCCTGCGCCACACACAGACTCGGCCAGTTTAAGCGCAGCTAAATGGATGGTTTGACAATGGGCCCGGGTGGTGTATTATGACACAGATTCCACGGACAGATGTTACTGTTTCTTCGGCAGTCGGCCATCTGGAGCCATATGCTATGCTCCGGGAACCACTGGCATATGATTGGCCGTTTAATTTTCTCCATTCTAAATCACCCATTGCGAGTAGGTGGGCGCTCCGCCCTAGGACTGACTCTTGTGACCGCGGCTGATGGACGGTACGGAATAATTTGGCGATGAAGTGTAGGTTGGTACATGTTAAATGGAATAAAACGGAAATAGTAAGGTCTGAAATGACGTTGCTTCATTTATTGGCCTTACGTCATCGCACATCTAATTTAGTCGTAAGTTTTCGAGTCTCGACTCTCGAGGATGTATTTTGCCAGTAACTGTATTTGTTGTGAATGACGAGCTGCTCCGAACACGTCATTTCATTTCTACAAACCTCTGATTATAATGCGAACGGCTGATTTGCAATTTGACAAAAAAAGAGTCCAAAAAACAGCTAATATGTCATTTAAATCATATCCTCCATTTTATATCAAATTTCTTTTGTATTAAATTGATCCTTAAAGTGTTATATAATGACGAATAACACCGTTACCGATCGTAAGTTTTTGCTTGACGAAATCCTCAAACAAAAATAAAAATAAAAAATAAAAAGAGTTATTTGCGAAATATCAGTTGATACGAAATTTACGCATAAGGTCTGCACAATCTTTATGAGATATTTGAACACCAGTGTAGATACACACACGATTGGCTTGTAGGCCACGCAGGAAAAATGGCAGGTAAATTTAAAACCTGAACCTGCGAAATTGATCATCACTGTGGCCTGTTACCGGTTTATATCTGTGGTTTGTTGTTTAGCCCCGCCCTCTGTCGGCAGCACCCGCCGTGCAGCGCTCGTCCCCTCCCTCTGATCACCGTCCGCCATTGTCGCTACAGGTGTGCCCGGAGACGACTACCCGATCCTGGCCGAGATCCCCGAGACGGACTTCTCGTGCGCCGGCCGGCCCCAGGGCTACTTCTCGGACGTCTTGGCCAGGTGTCAGGTGAGTGGGGGCTCAGCTGGGCTAAGTGGGCTGGGCTGGGCTGCGGCTGGGCTGGGCTGGGCTGGGCTGAGCTGCGGCTAGGCTGGGCTGGGGTGGGCTAGGCTGTAGCTGAGCTGCGGCTGTGCTTGACTCGGCTGGGCTGAATGGGCTGGCTGAGCTGCGGCTGGGCTGGGCTGGGGTGGGCTGGGCTGGCTGTGGCTGGGCTGCGGCTGGGCTGGGCTGGTTGGGCTGGGTGGGCTAGGCTGTGGCTGAGCTTGGCGGGCTGGCGAGCGGGATCTCACTGCTGGGGCCACTGCCAGCTGTGTTCCGGTAGGACCTCGCTGAGGTTGTCGACATGAATGAGTGTAGCAAACATGCATATGTTCGTATGGATTATGGTTGCTTTGATTGACGTGCTATGTATGGTAATTATTGTCCATTGTATGCATATATGCATGAGTCCTGTGCTAAAACGGGCAATGTCTCTAAAAATGTAATTGCTCTGGCTTATTTTTCCAAAAAAGAATTATAGGCAAAAAGTGTGAGGCAAGCCATTTATGGAAACGGACTTTCCACATCCACAGCACTGCAGTTTGAAATCGCAACTAAGAGCACCACAAAGAAAACGTGCGCTGCTTGTCACTGCTGCCGTCCCAATCGATCATCATTTGTACCAATCACCGCCGACCCGGGCCGTCCAAATGGAGGTCACGAACAGTTCTGGACGGAAAAGTCGCGTGGTCCCCGACAAAAGAGGCCGGTCATTGTTGAACGCCTCATCTGTTTCTCCCTGGGGCTCTTACTGTGTGCTCGTCACTGCAGCGACCGGACTGGGCTGTCCAGCTCTGAAGGATCCGAATTCACCGGGACCCGTGTGACGAGCCCTCGTGACTCCGTGTGACCGTGGCGTATGTGGCGCCCACTATCACAATGTCACAAGTCACAGTCACAATGTGACACACTGTGACACAGTCACAATGTAACACACTGTCAGACACAGCGACAGTGTGACACCCGGTATCACCCTGTGATGCAATGTGACACCCGGTGTCACCATGTGATACAGTGTGCGTATGCCAATCAGTTGACGTCTGTGACGCTCTGTGACGCTCTGTGACTCAACTGACGACCGTGACGTTACGTTTCCAGGTATACCACGTGTGTCACGGGACGTTCCAAAAGAGCTCCTTCATCTGCCCGGTAAGTGACCGGTCAACTTCTCAGAACGGACAGCAATTGGCTGAAAAAATGGCGTCGAGCAAATACAGTTCTTATGCACGTTCAGCATATTTTGAACGGAAAAATGCAAACGTAACATTCAAGTTTAATTAGATAACAATATGTCTACTGCCTGGTATCTAAAAGAGGCTCCTGATTATGAGAATTGTAGCGAGCTGTAGACTATATTTAAAATCATGAGCAATTAAGCTGCTGACTATATCACGGTTCGGGAGGCTAGTCTGACGGCTGGGTATGCAGCCGGCTCACGGCTGACCGTCTGACGGGCTGCCGGCTGTGTTCCAGAACGGTACCGTGTTCAGCCAGCCGCTGGCCACCTGTGACTGGTGGTTCAACACGGAGTGCTCGGACGGCCTGCCGCTGCCCAGCTCCACGTTCAGGGTAGGGGCGCCGACCACCTCCACGTTCAGGGTAGGGGCGCCGACCAGCTCCACGTTCAGGGTAGGGCCGCCGCCCAGCTCCACGTTCAGGGTAGGGCCGCCGACCAGCTCCACGTTCAGGGTAGGGGCGCCGGGCGCCGACCAGCTCCACGTTCAGGGTAGGGGCGCCGACCAGCTCCACGGTCAGGGTAGGGCCGCTGCCCAGATCCACTCCACGCTCACAGTAGGGCCGCCGACCAGGGGTCACTCAGCGGTCAGACCTACCGATAGTGACCGAACTCAGAAAAACATTGGCTGATAGTCGTCCTATTCATTCCTGCATTCGACACATAGGCACCTTTTCGATATAACTGCAGCCAGCACTCAGCATCCATTGCTCAATTTAGTTATATTAAAGCCTAAAGGCTGTGGGGCTGAGTGGGCCGAGATGCTCGCTGGGAATCACCCTTGAGAGACCAGGTTTTGGGAGGACAACATAACATTCCTTCCAAAAATATGCAGATTGATAACTGCTGAGCGCTGAGTTCGGCAATTCCATCAGCCGTGACCTGCCATGCCTTGATTACGCTGGGTCCTGATGGGTCCTGCCTCATTTCCAGGTGAGTCGGCAGGTGTCGCAGCACATGTTCGAGCACGACTGGGTGGACGACTACGAGGACTCTGACGTCACCGACTCTGACGTCATCAGCCATGACGTCACCGACCCTGATCGGTCGTCGGGGGCACGCGGTGGGCCCGGAGCCCTCCATAACACCCCACGGACGGCGCAGCACAGAGCCACAGATAGGGTGCCGGTCCCCGCCGATCGCAGCGCCCCTAGCGGCGACCGCAGCGCTCCTAGCGGTGGTGACCGCAGCGCCCCTAGCGGTGGCGACCGCAGCGCCTCTGGCGGCGACCGCAGTCCCCCAGCTAACGGCGTCACCTGGCGGTCTCCGTTCGCTGGCCAGCCCCTGTCCGGCTCAACCGAGGCGTACCGCCGCCCTGAGCGACACTTGGCGGCCGTTGCGGCGCCTCCAGAAGAGCGGCCAGGTACCGTCACTGCGGCAAGGCACGAGCGCGGCGAAACGTCCGTGAAACAGGGCAGAGACGGAGCCGGAGCCGGAGCTGATGCCAGCACGGGAGCCGGCGCCGGCGCGCCGCCGTTCGTGGTGCGGGTCAGCTACGGCGGCGGCGGCGGCCGCACCACCAGCGAGCTCCAGTTCGGCCCGCGGGCGGCGCGCAGCTTCCTGAGCAGGGCGCAGCTGCGCGGCTGGAGTTTCCCGTCCGGCGGGAGCGCCGGTACGGAGCCGGCCCGGGGCCCTGTGACACAGACGGCGCGCGTGGCTCGGCACCTGGCTGAGGCCGGCCGGCCGCGGACCGGCGCCGGCCGGCGGCTCCAGGCCGGCGGCGTGTCTCCGAGACCGTCCCCCGACCACCGACCCCCGTCCACGCGCCGGTCTGTGGTCCAGCCGGCGCCGGGCGGCCCAGAGACCCGAGTCCACCCACCCACAGACGCACGCGCCGGGCCGGCGGCAGAGAGACGAGCGGGGCAGAGGGAGGAGCGGGACGGGAGCGTCCACTGGGGGACCACCATCCCCTCCGTGGCACAGGAGGAGACCCCGCCCGAGGAGGCACCCAGACACAGACGGCGGGGCGGCCGAGAGCAGTTCCACAACTCGCCGACAGATGTCACTAGCAGTACCACCGGCCGCAGTGAGCGGCTCGCCGACGGCCCGGCGGAATACGATGATCTCCTCAGCAGCGCGTCGTTCCGCAGTTTTGGTCTGCGGATTCCCAGCGGGCCGTCGCCTGAGGACCGACACCACAGGACCGTCTAGCGGACCGCCGGGCCGTTTCGGCTAAAGCTGTTTGTGGTCCGTCCATTCCGCGAGCGCAGAATGGCGGCCGTAAAACGTTATTGTTGTTGCATAATGCATAAGGGTACGGCCATGTGCGAGTGCTGGCCGTTGTGGGAGCACCGCTGGCGGTCGGTGTGCTCCAGTGTGGTGTGGCGGCCCTCCGCTCGTTAGGAGCCTGTGTACTTATCAGCTGTGCTCCGGCGTGGTGTCCCGGCCCTCCGCTCCAGTCAGGGGCGGCCGGGACCTGCTCATGGGCGCGGGTCTGCCCACATACTCTGCCTGCCGAGAGCCATATAACATGGAGCTGTCTCTGTCCATCATCCATAGTCTTGCGACAATTGTTAGTGGATGGGTATATCTGGTTTATGTGAGTGACCTTCTAAGTAGTTATCCGCTGTTTTGGAGCACAAAATGTACCAAATAAACCAAGATGAAAATGTGCCGGTACCTGCTGAATCACACTTGCCAGTCTGTGACAGTGTGACATGGCACCCGTGCAATAAACTATCGAATTAATGAGCTGTTGGTATCTGTTCATTGAGATGTGCTGACCAGTGGAAATCTCATGGTGTCGGCAGTCACGCGTCAAAACCGACCGGTGAGCAGACATCACGAACAGATTACAATTACCCATCCCGTCACTGTTCGCTGTGCCGCGGCCCATGGGTAGCTACGGAAAGGACGCGGTCATCGGTTCACAGGGAACTCTGCCGTCACACAACACACGAGACTACATTTCAGAACTGTGCGGCCGGACCGGCACAGCGATAACGTTACCACCTGCTGTCCACTTACTGTGTACGGAAACCAAACCCAGGGAAACGTCAATATATTCAAGGTTTTGGTGTTGTCGATTCACATTTGCAATGCAGAGTGTTATCATCACACATGCATGGATGCACTCGCACAACATGCTTCTTTCATCTTTTATGTGCTTGTTGACACTTGATGCCATGTCTCTCGCGCCTTTTCACTTGTAATGTGATGTATTCTATCAAGATAGAAAATTTCGTTAAAACAACACTCATAGATGACAGATACGTATCTATCAGCTTTTAACTTATAATGAACGGCCTTCGTGCGAATCTACTGACTCTTGACCACTAGACATTACTAGAGCTCGCATTTGTAGCCGAAGGATGTCACACTCGTTACCGGTAAGGGACTACACAAGTCATTATCATGGCTGCAACAAACTATAAAAAGCACACGGGGAGATGCTGGCTGGCCACTGCGCGGGCTCCGTCGAGGTGGTTTTTACTTTCTACGGCCGGCCTCTCCGACACTTGCGGTTACTACTTACTCCTGACAACCGGCCTGACGAACTTCAACTGACTGTCCCTGAGACAGGGTCAGTACTGTCTGAGACACTTTGAAACACTCTGAGACACGCGGTCTGCTGTCTGAGACACGCGGCCTGCTGTCTGAGACGCGCGGCCTGCTGTCTGAGACACTCTGTCTGCTGTCTGAGCTCACTGTCTGCAGTCTGAGACACTAGGTCCGCTGTCTGAGACACACGGTCTGCTGTCTGAGACACGCGGTCTGGCGTCTGCTGGCTCAAAGGTCTCCTGTCAGAGACACTCGATGTCATGTCTGAGAGGTCTGCTTTCTGAGAGGTCTGCTTTTTGAGAGGTCTGCTATCTGAGAGGTCTGCTTTCTGACTTCTGAGACGTCTGCTTTCTGAGAAGTCTGCTATCTGCGTCACACAGTCTGCTAAGCTGACCCTATCGCACGCACTCGGTTCACTGCGCTGACCCTATCCCGCCGGCTCAGTTCACTGCGCTGATCCCAGTTCACTGCGCTGACGGCCGGCCGTCTCAGTGTCCGCCCCGCCCGTGTTTGCCGAGCTAATGACACGGGCCAGGTCGTAATGGAGTCATTAGCCTGTCGCGGGCCGGGTGGGCGGGGGGGGGGGGAGCGCTCGCCGTCCGCAGGTCCGCCCTTCCGCGCCCCTCCATACTGCACGGGCACGGGCACAGCACCCACCTCTGGGGGCCCACAGACGGCCACCCAGGCCGGGCTGAGAACCGCAGCTGGGGGCGGGACTAATGGGGGTAATTTGGGGAACAGACGGGGTCAGCTCACCGCTGAGAAACATTCCATCGGGCGTCAGCTGATGAAAACTTTCACGGATTACAATTAATTAAAGGGCACAAAACCGAACACCAAAACAATACACACCATCAAATTACTTCGTGCGCAGGATAGGGCAATTTCGATGTAAAAGATGAGCTGAAAAAGCATGCGCATCAGCCGTGATGCGTTATACATAATAATCAAGAATAAAAATCCAGTGTCAGGATGAATATAATTGAGAAGCTGACTTTATCTTCGCCCGCGCCCGGGTGTGGGGCTCAACCAGCTTCGGCCGATTTCCTTAGGAAAAAATGAAATAAATGGAGAGACGCAGAATAAGCAGTCGATATCTGTCTTTATCAAAGTTCTTTCGGAAGCATACACATCATTTATTGCTTAGGTTATAGCTAAAGTCACTGGAGGCAGCGAAAGGTAAATTTTTCCCTGCGTTTTCTCGCATTTGACAGTGTTACACAAACTAGCGCGCATATCGTGAACAACAGCGTGAGCTACAGCAACGGGGAAAACCGCATACGATGTTTCTTTTGAAGTATTTTCGCTAAAATGTCCTCATGTTTGATTCCAGGTAAACGGTTTGGCCCACAGAGAGCGAAGATCGCCAAAATAGATGGATTCTGCCCAAAGGCAAACATTTATCCAGCAATAGTTCTGGACTCAATCAATGTATGGTATTCTCACCTCCACACTCGGCCCACTATTCGGTCCCCGGCCCCGGTCAGCCTCTGGGGGCCTCGGCTAGTCCCCCCGGCCCCGGTCAGCTTTGGTCAGCCCCCAGGGCCCAGTTCATATAGAGCCCCTTTGCTGCTAAGGGACACTTATCGGAAACGGGGGACTCGACAGACGGATTCATATAGCCACTCTTACACACCGGCCATGCTACCAAAAAGTGTCCTTTTGAAAAGTGGCACTTTGGAAAATTGACACTTGCCGACTGGCTTTTCTATATGAACTGGGCCCTGACCTCAGCTCAGTCAGCCTCCCTGACCCCGGTCGGCGCCCTGACCTCAGTCAGCTTAGTCAGCCTCCCTGATCCCGGTCGGCGCCCTGACCTCAGTCAGCTTAGTCAGCCTCCCTGATCCCGGTCGGCGCCCTGACCTCAGTCAGCTTAGTCAGCCTCCCTGATCCCGGTCGGCGCCGTGACCCCAGTCAGCTTAGTCAGCCTGCCGCGGACTCGGTCCCTCGGACAGCCAGCTCCCGACCTCCGTCAGTCCCCAGCTCCGGTCAGTCCCCGCCCCCGGCCCCGGCCAGCCTCCCCGACCCCAGTCAGCCTCGCTCAGCCTCGCTCGCTCGCTCAGTCCCCGCCCCCGGCCACTGTCGATGGCGGATCTGATAGGAGCCGCGGCCGCCGACCACCGCCGTGCCAATATGCTAACTCGGCGCTATCCACGACACCTTGTTAGAAATCTGAGATTAGGATTCGGGCGCCGCAGGAAGATTTATGATCCGAGAAAGTTGATGTTTGTGCCAAAAATATCCCCATGTCATGCGTATGAATCATATCAGCCAAGACAATCTCGCTAGTCCAAGTCACGCTCAGATAGCACCACTTATTGTCGCCTGAGTCAGCGTAAGCGCTTTGAATGATATTAACCGCTCACCGGTCGGGGGGGGGGGGGGGATAAAATGGGTATTGATTCGATGCAGTTGGCGCAGCGGACATGCCCCTGGACCGCACGCCGCAACGAGCGACCTATGTATACGACATACCGCAGGCATACCCCATGCGGGTCGTATACCCATTGCATACGACCGTCGCACTGCTGAGCTGGTGGTCGACAGCCGACCGTCGGCTCTGTGCTCGAATGATTGTCACAACACAAGACCAAGGAAAGGACAGGGGGCGCCCCAAAAACACACACCGTTCCGTGCTTCTATCCGCAGGATACTGAAATCCTTCTCCTCCACGCCGCAACCTCCCTCCGGGCTGGACAGGCAACTTTATCTCATGCGGGCTGCTCCCTTGGAGCGGCACCGCTGCTCCCGAGGGAGCGCACCCCGTAGCCGGGTGCAGTGAGTGCCTTGGGGCTGGGTGGCCTGTCTTCGGACGGGCTCAGCCCCGGCGACTCACTAGGGTGCCTGCCCAGACCAATGTCTCCCTCTATATCCTATCATCCTCCCGGCTCTGAAATGGTCTCATTGGACCAAAAGGGCCTAACCCAACAAAACAAACAAACCCAAAAACGGTCTGTGCCAGGCGGATGGTCGTGAGAGCAGTCGGCAAACGGTGGGCAGTGGGGATTAGTGTGAAAGCGAGTCGTTTCTTTGCTGAGGTGGCCGCGGGTGAACCGCACTGGACGCAAATTCGTATAGGTATGATAGATGTTAACCCGGCAGGCCTCCCGGCCACCTTCCGCGCGGGGGGGGGGGCATTTTTTGTCCCCCCTCGTATCTCCGAAACTACTGGACGGATCCGGAAAATTCAAACGGCGTTCGATAGCCCTGTCAAATTTGTTGACAGAAACCAAATTTCATTGACCTCGGGGTCACCGATGACGTCACAGGTCAGGTCAAAGATAAAATGTTTCACCGTTCACGAGGCTTCTAAGGAAAGCGCTATAACACCGAGTAAAACGCATTTTGTCGAGAATCAGCGATAGGGCGTCAGTTGTCTAGTGCATATGTTGCTATTAGAGGTCACTGGTCATACCAGGTCAGGTCACAGGTCAGGTCACCAAAGGTCACCAAGGGTCACCACATGAACCCAACTTTACTAAGGTTGTGCGATGCATGTTTTATGGCCAGTTTTTCATTTCCAACTCAATGGTGTTGGTTATAAGACCATCAGGTACGGTTTAGGTTAATTTCTGGTGGAGGTCAGATCAAGGTCAGACCTGACCTGTCAAAAAAGGTCGAATTTCAAAGTTGATATTTTTGCATAAAATGGGTATTGATTCGATGCAGCTTGTCACGGGGAGTCTAATGGTGGTATTTGTTTTGCGCTACAAGGTCTAGAATTGCTAAAAAATGAGTTTGAAAATTTGACGTCATCAATTTTGAACAGTTTTTTCGCTATAACTTGGCCAAAAAAAAGAGGTATCGATCTCGAATTTGGTATGTAGATAGAAGGCGATAGGGACTATCACATATCTTCCGGTTTTTTCGAAATTTAAATTTGTTTTTGGATTTTTCGGCTATTATAAACAAACAATCTATTTTGTTTATTTTTGGGGTCAAAATCCCACAACTTGAAAAATCCGAGATAGCAGTTTTGTAGCCCTTTAAATTCTACACCTTTTATGTCTGAAACATTTTTCTGTATCTCTAAGGCTGTAGGCCTGACAGCTCTTCTCGCGAAACCTTTTTTTGGGTCGAAAATGGCAGAAATGACGTCACTCTGACGTCATTAGCGTTCAACCTATCATAGCCTTTTGAAAATTTTTTGGTCACAAAGGGGACATGGAACAAGCCTGCGCAATCCTAAG